TTTTAATAGTGATTTTATTACTTTCAGAAATGTACTATTCAAGCTTTCTTATATTGCCACCTTGCGAAGTTATGCTCAGAATGCCAGCCTTTTTTTTAAAGTTGCTCTATCACAGGACTGATCATAACTAACTCTGTGATCACAAATTATTATAGTCTTAAATTTCCTTCACAGACTGATGCTTGTAGCATGGAATTTAAATTTAAAGTAAGCATCTATTCTTGATCACGTCTATAGAAATTAATCTGTACTGATGTATCACTATTTTGTAATCACCTAAATCATCTTTCTTTCTCTGTGTTAAAATGAGCTCATAATAATAATGTAACAAAGGTCATTGTACTATCCATTAGTCATTATATATGTATCTTGTTAAAAAAAAGTTAATCATTTATTTATAGAGTGCCTTAAGTAATATTTAAAATATAAACTTAGTCTCATAGTTAGAAAAACAGAGACATAAAGACTTCAAGGAATATCCTGAATCACAATTCAACTAGAATGATACTTACTGGCAAGAAAGATACCTAATTGTCTTTAATGATCTTAAAAGTGTGGGGACTTGATTTTAACCCTAAGTGGGACCAAAAGGCTGACGGTTCAAACCCATTAGCCACTCCTCAGAAGGAAGGTTGGGCAGTTTACTTCCATAGTGATGTTGTTGTTGTATGCCGTCGAGTCGGCCCCGACTCATAGCGACCCCTGCTTGGGTTTCCCAGGCAGTATCACTATGGAAGTAGGATTGCCCAACCTTCCTTCCGAGGAGTAGCTGGTGGGTTTGAACTGACAGTTGTCTGGTTAGCAGTCAAATGCCTTAGGCACTCAGACACTACTCGAGGCAGTGGGTTTGGTTTGGTTTTGGGATGCTTATTAGCTGTGTGTCATTAGGGGAATCGGTAAGCTTTCTATGACTCGGTTTTCATTTCTGTAGAAAGGGCAGTACCTATTGGATTATTCACATTAGAGTTTTGAGAATGAAATGAAGTAAAACAAAAAACATACTTAATCAAAAAATACCAGAAAGATGTCTACCTGTTTTATTGATAATGCAAAGGCATTCGACTGTGTGGATCATAACATGTTATGGATAACATTGCAAAGAATAGGAATTCTAGAACACTTAGTTGTTCTCATGAGGAACATGTACATAGATCGAGAGGCTACCATTCGAACAGAACAAGGGGATATTGCATGGTTTAATATCAGGAAGCATGTACTTCAGGGTTGCGTCCTTTCACCATACTTATTCAATCTGCATGCTGAGCAAATAATCCGAGAAGCTGGATTATATGAAGAAGAACATGGCATCAGAATTGGAGGAAGAACCATTAGCAACGTGAGATATGCAGATGACACAACCTTGTTTGCTGAGAGTGAAGATGACTTGAAGCACTTATTGATAAATATCGAAAACTACAGTCTTCAGTATGGATTACACCTTAACAAAAAGAAAATGAAAATCCTCACAATTGGACCGATAAACAGCATCATAATAAATGGAGAAAAGATTAAAGTTGTCAGATACTTCATTTTATTTAAATTCATGGTCAACACCCATAGATGCACCATCAAGAAATCAGACATCATGTTACACCGGGAAAATCTGTTGCAAAAGACCTCTTTAAAATGTTAAAAAGCAAAGATACCACCCTGAGATCTAAGGTGCACATGACCAAATCCATGCTAGATTACCTCATGGTATGTAAAAGCTGGTTGATGAATAAGGAAGACCGAAGTAAAACTGATGCTTTTGAATTATGGTGTTGGCAAAGAATACTGAATAAATCACATATTGCTAGAAGAATGAACAAATCTGGATTGGTTGAAGTGCAGCCAGAATGCTCTTCTAATGTGAGGATTCTGCAACTTTGTCTCATGTACGTTGCACATGTTATTAGGAAAGACCAGTGGATGGAGAAGGATGCCATGCTTGGTAACGTGTTAGTGAAAAAGGGGAAAACCCTAAAAGATAGATTGACACAATGTCAGGAACAGTTGGCTCAAACATAGCAACTATTTTGAGGATGGCACTGGACTGGGCAGTGTTTCCTTCTGTTGTACATAGGGTCTGTATGAGTTGGAACTGTCTTCGTGGCACCTGACAGTGTAACAACAGCAACTTTAAAAAATAAGTTTATTAAAAAAAAAATACTTTCTTCTAATAGAATTACTCTTTCTCATAAAAAAATTGGAATACCAAACTCAGAATATGATGGTCTGTGGTAGAACACTGATGCAATGTCTAATATAGACTTTTTTCTTCCAAAATGATTGCAAGAAACTCTTATTCTGCAGAAATTTTCCTCATGTCATCTTGTTTTGTAGGAAACCATTGAAATATGAGCACATTCTTCTTCTTAGAGAACATTTGAGCCAAAAATATAAAGTGATGGAAGGAAAACATCCCAAATTACTCTTATTTTAAATTGAGCAGCCCATGGCAAAAGCAAGCATTATGTATGGATTGATGAGTACTGAATATAAATTGCAGTTTCCTTTTTCCGTGTATGTATCCACCCTCATGTTCCTTACTTTTTATCATCAACAGGACCAACTTGCCGCATTTAATATAATTTCATGCCTAACATGTCTATATTAAAAAACAACTTAAGATGGCTTATAATAAAATCAAAGATAGAGTAAAAAAAAAAAAAGTCCAAATTAAAAAGAACAGTTTAGGTTACATTTCATTCTAACCCTTTGATTCTTTCTTGTTATCTGACTAATAGGGACCCTATAGAACACAATAGAAGTGCTCCATAGGGTTTCTACTTTAAATTTACTTTTGTTTTTGTATTTGCATTTACATCATTGATTATCACATTGCTTTGAATTGTTTGTAATGCATTAGTCAGACTGCCTGTGGTCAAATTCCAGCTCCTATACTTATTTGCTGGGAGATCTGGTGGCGTAGTGCCTAAGCCATTTGACTGCTAATCAGAAGGCTGGCGGTTCAAACCCACCAGCCACTCCTCGGAAGGAAGGTTGGGCAATCTACTTCCATAGTGATACTGCCTTAGAAACCCAAGAAGGGGTCACTTTGAGTTGGATCCGGCTTGACGGCAGTGAGTGAAGTGTGTGAGGATACTTACTTGCTAGAGGACCTTAGCAAAGTTATTTAACCTTTTTGTCATTTTCTTTATCTATAAAATGGGGATATCAATAATACCTATATTATAGGAATGTGTTTTGAGAATTAGTTATGTTAATATATGTAAAATACTTAGAACAATGCTGGCACACAGTAACTTCTAATAAATGTTAGTTATTTGTGTTATCATCATTATTGTGATTAATATCTGTCTATCATATAGGATTGTTTTAGTTATTAAATGATACATTACAAGTCAAACATTTAGAACAATGCTGGTACATAGTAAGCATGCAGTGCGTGTTAGCTAGACATAGTTAACAGTAGCAGCATCGGCTATGTTTTGGTGGCAATAGTGTGCCATCAACTTGATTCCAACTCATGGCAACCCTACAAGACAGAGTAGAACTTCCAACATAAGGTGTCCTAGGCTTTAAATCTTTACGAGAACAGATCACCAGGTCTTTTCTCCAGCAGAGCAGCTGGTAGGTTCAAACCTCTGACCTTCAGTTACTAGCCAACAAAGAGCTTAACCATTATGTATATAACTTTCAGTCTTAAACTGCAAGTAGCTCAGAATGATCAAATAGAAAAGACTCTGGAGCTCATTTTTTATTTTTGAACAGTTAGTATGTTTTGTAATGGTTATTCAGAGATTGGAAAAGTATTTATGTGCAAACTTATGCATAATTGTAAGATTTTTAAGTGTTATTCTGCCTCTTATTCTATGGTTTTTGGAAAATAGCTTATTTCTCCAGCGCTTTTGTGGCATAAACTCCCTTGTTGTTGTTGTTATTTGCCATCGAGTCGGCCCCGACTCCTATAGTGTCAGCATTTCTCAGCACATTTCCTCATCAATAGAGTAAAAACCCATTGCCAACGAGTCAATTACGACTCATGTGACCCTTTAGGACAGTGTAGAATTTAGAAAACAAAACAATCCATTCAAAAATGATATATACAAAATTAGTAAGTAAAACTGAATAACATGCTTATAACTTTTCAAATTTAAAGATGTTTAATGTGAAAATGGCATATTTGAACCTCCTTGCCTTTCCAACACAGAAGTAAAAACAGAGCTACAAATTTCACAATTTTTAGATGTTAAGGGAAAGCTGAATGATCTTTATTTGTGTGTTGGAGATTCGTGATTCCAGCCCTGTGTAATAATCCATAAAGTATGAATTATTAAATGAGTGCAGCTTATATTTATATTGGTTATATTGTCAACCATAGCACACACTTCACTGTATATAGATTTCCATTAAGGAAGTAGAGTGCATGCATCACCCGAAGCCCATTCTTCTTAAATTTCAACTTTTATCATTAAAAATTCTTGAAGTTTCTATATTTGATCATGAAGAAACTGCTGTTAGGTAAGAGACCAATAAGTGGAAAAGAAAGAATAACTGAATTAATGTTTTTTTTTTTTTTATTACTTAAAAAATTTTTTAAGTAAGAAGAGAACAACCAAATATTATATTTTATTAACAACTTTTCTCATTGTATCCTCTGGTTAATATTTGGGGCAGTTGTAAAGTGATTCAGGAAATTAAATATGTAACTGCAAAAAGCAAAGATGATCATTTGAAGCAGACTTCTATAATTTTAAAATCACATTCATTAAACTGTTTGACCCAGTTTTATAGAAGTATCTATAATATTGTCTTTTAACTGTGACAGTATAAGAACTATCACTCCAGATAGTTGCTTTATCATTTAGGAAGAGAATTTTCAGAAAAGTGTTGAGAGTACCTCAGTTCTAGTTTTAGTCCTTCCTTTAAGTGTCCACTCAGCCCACTGACCAGTAGTTCTTTTTCAGTGATAGAGATCATGCTTTTAACAGTAAATATCTTTTCTATTCTAACAGTGGTTTAATTTGAATTTTGTCTCTTTCTCTCTTTAATAGTCTGATACTTACTTCTGCATGTCATTACGTTTGCCGACAGATGAGGAAGCTTTCGTGAGTAAGTATTAATTGAATGGCATTGGTGGGAGGGCTAGTTGAAGGGAGAGCCGCTATTTGAAATCAGTAAGAGGTTCTCTTTGACGGTTATGAGCATATTAATCTTTTACTGTGAGTGTGTCAAATGCATTTATCATGCCTGATGCAGAGACAAATAGAGAGCACTACTGAGAGACAAGATTACAAACTGTATCTGGAGAGATTCATGAGTAATAGTAGTTAAGGAGTTGCATGCAGGTGTTGATGGCTGCCAATACCATGTGGTCCCATTTGTATAATATTGGCTTTCTGTCTGTGGCTGGATGCTTAATTCTGCTCCGCTCAACAGACTGTTTATTTACCTTCTGGTTCATACTATAAATCGACTACACTTAGAATCAACATTGGGGAAAGTTAAGATTATACCTGTCAGACTGGTAGATGATAGGAAGGAAGGAAAGAAGAGGGGAGAACAGGAATGAATAAAAGGTATGGGGAGAGGGAGGGAGAGAAAGAGGGAAGAAAAGGAAAGAATTAGGAAGGGTCTGACTTGTTGTTTATATTATTGAGTGAGAAATCTTAAATGGCAACAAGTCCTTAACTGTGCCTTTAAATCAGATAAGAAAATTGACAAAGCACCATTGTTTTCATCTAGGTTGTTTTAATTTAAACATCCCTGTGACAAACTTTTAACTGTTTAAAGAAGAGGTGTGATTGGCCAATTATTCATGGATTTATTTTTTCCACTTCACTTTCCTCTTTTGAGATGTTGATTTTGGAGAGAAGGTGATGGTAATGAGAGTTGTACTTTGGTCCCTTGAAACTAATCTTCAAGTGGCTGTCTGAAATGACTATTATGTGAGTTATAAAATGTGTACAGTAGCCTTGGGGCAGTCCAATGATGAATTTTCATGAGGCATTGCCCAGAGCAATGCACATTATAGGCCTGCAAAGCCAGAGCAATGTGCATTTATTTTTCCACAGACTTTAGTTGTATTCATAACAGAAAACACAACCTATAACAACATTTATTTAACAAAATTTGCACCATAGTTAATTCCTAACAATGAAAGACCTTGGAAAGTTGAGTGTAGCTTAAAAAAAATCAAGAAGGATAGTGTTCCCTGATACTGAATAGATACTTTCAAAGACAGAAAAAGTAATTTAAATTCCTAACTGTAGTGCTTTGAGTAAAGTTGTCTTCAATTTCATATCCACGTGTTTTCCATCCCTGGGGAAAAAATAAAATAACATTTACCTATAAAAGGGAACTTTACATGAATTTTTGTTTCCTTACTTTGTGATTTCTTTGTCAAAATTTAGAGCAGTTGAATTTGTACGCTTTACTGTACACACCTGTATAAATATGTTTGTCTTGTTTTATGGCAATATTATGGGTATTGCCTTAATATTTACTGGTTTATTTCTAGGAACTGGTGGTAGTATGTGATTTTAGAGCTGACGACTCTAGGGACTATATATATCCTGGAATGTGTTATTGCTCTCCTAATATAACTATGGTTTTGTTTTTTTCATAATTTAAAATGGAAAAGTCCAAGTGATTTTATTTTGTCAAGAAAAATATTTGCTGGAAATGTATAAAGGGCTGTATTATACCCAAGGAGCTAAAGTTTCTTCATTTTCTTAAGCAATTCTCTTCTAAGAGAGAACTGTTCCATAATGTTCTAGACTATTGTACTTCAAGTTATTTATTATATTTCTTTTATTGCTTATCATTTTTTATCCCTTTATTTGGGGATATTGTGAAAGTTCTAAGGTTCTTAAATGGTCTTCTTACATTCTTCATCTCTGGGAGGGTTGTGTGAATATTGAAGATTTTGTTCCTTCTTAAAAAAGAGGTTTATTTCATCTTTAGTGTGAGTTCTTTAATTTATTATCCACCAGCTTATTTGTGTGAATAATCCAAAAACCACCGCAGTTTAGGTATAGGCAAATTAGAATTGGAAAGTGGAAAAATCAAAGTGAAATGCCAAACAATCATTTATATAAGGTGATAAGTAGGAGAAATGTTCCATGTATTACCTCACTTAATTTTTTGAGCAGCCCTATAGGTAGTCCTATTTTATACTTAGAGAAACAGAGACCGGGATATGTATGTTTCAGTCAGCTCCTAGGACAATAGTTTGTATGGAATCATTGCTTGTATGATTAGACCACCACCATCATTGCCATCAGCCATCATCTTCCATGCACTCTAAGATGCTGATGTTGTTGTTGTTGTTATGTGCCGTCGAGTCGCCCCGACTCATAGCGACCCCTCCTTGGGTTTCTGAGGCAGTATCACATAGTGACTAAAGCACTTGACTGCTAACCAGAAGGCTGGCGGTTCAAACCCACCAGCCACTCCTCAGAAGGAAGGTTGGGCAGTCCTACTTCTGTAGTGATACTGCCTCGGAAACCCAAGGAGGGGTCGCTATGAGTCGGGGCTGACTCGACGGCACATAACAACAACAACAACATCACTACAGAAGTAGGATTGCCCAACCTTCCTTCTGAGGAGTGGCTGGTGGGTTTGAACCGCCAGCCTTCTGGTTAGCAATCAAGTGCCTTAGGCACTATGCTACCAGAGCTCCTAAGATGCTGATAGCTAAGCATATTTAAGCCATTTTACGGAAAAGGACGTAGGTGGTCAGAGAAATTATGGAACATGTGCAAGCTGTTTACTAGCTATGTGTCCACATAGTTTTGCGCTGTTCCAATTATAACCGATATAGGTGTGGAGGAAGTGATAAAAGGAAGAAATGGAAGAAGTTATCAAATAGAAGAGTTAAAATATAGCATTAACACACAGTGTCTTCTTCACAATGAATACAAATATTCTTTCACTTCTTACCTTCACTCCCTATTGGGAATAATTTGGTCGATTTTGCAATTAAAATAAAATAAACGTCAAACCATCTTCCAAAAAGAAATCCCAACACACATGTGTATTTAATGATTTGGAGAAGGAAACATTCTTGGATAGATAGATTATATGATGACAGAGTTTATCATACTTAGTTTATCCAGACTCTAACAGTGTAAGATTTGTTTGTGAGGTATCCAAGCTTTTCCATGCTAAGGGATTCTGAGGACACAGGGAATGAAGCATTAGCCTTTTTGTGGCTGATCCCCAAACCTGGGTCTCAGGCCACCTTATTATAAGATTAGATAAAGCTGAAAAATGAGGACTTCTAAACAAGACTCATAATACTTTGTTAATTCTTTCCTTAAGACACTCATCATTTTATACTTTTTGCTGTCATTATCTGTGCCTTTTTAATTTTGAATGCCAAAAAGATATATCCCACAGGATATGGTAGGGACTCAATAAATGTTTCCTGAATGCATGCATGCACACTTAGAAAGCATTTTGTTTGGCCGTTTTCTAAGGCAGCATAACAGACAATTTACCATATTGCTTTATAGTATATTCTTGGTTTTAATATAAGGGATAATTGTTCTTCAGAAAAAAAAAAAAACACATTTTGGTTATTGAGCACATTTAAAAAGTTCTGCTGTGTGCCATTTGTTGGGCTTGGTGTTGGGTGATACAGGTTCAAGGAAGTCACAGCCTTGAAGAACTTGGGAAAACAAGGATAGAAATGTTATACTATGTGAAAAGACTTTCTCCTTTTGGTTTTCAGGTTTCTGAAGAAAATCACAAAAAGCAGAGTATGATTCAGCTTACTTACTAGGACTAAGACAAAGTCCCTTAATGGTGTTAAAGTCAGAACTGCATTTGAATAATTCATAATTTAGGCTTTTTATTTGTGTGACTGGGTGCTTAGAGGCTGCTTTTCGATTGGGTATGGCTCTGTATTAAGACCAGGGCCTGAGGAAGGCAGGCCCGGAATTTGGAGGCTGCTTTTTGCTAGGTTGTGGCTCTATTTAAGGCAGGGGCCTCTGGTAGGCAGACCTGGGGATTGGAGGCTGCTTTTCGCTTGGATGTGGCTATCTATTAAGGCAGGGGCCTAAGGTGGACAGGCCTAGAGTTTGGAGGCTCCTTTTCACTTTGTTGTGGCTCTATATTAAGACGGGGGCCTCAGGTAAGCAGGCCCAGGGCTTGGAGGCTGCTTTTCGATTGGTTGTGCTGTCTGTTAAGGCAGGGGCCAGAGGTAGGCCAGCTGAGTCTTGGAGGCTACTTTTCGCTTGGGTGTGGCTCTATATTAAGGCAGAGGCCTGAAGTAGTCAGCCCCAGGGGTTGGAGGCTGCTTTTTGCTTGGGTGTGGCTGTATATTAAGGCCAGGGCCTAAGGTAGGCAAGCCTGGAGCTTGGAGGCTGCTTTTTCCTTGGTTGTGGCTCTATATTAAGACCGGGGCCTGAGGTAGGCAGGTGCAGAGGGGTTAGGAACAACTAAGGGAGACAAATTTATCTGTGAGTCTGTTGTCCTGTTGTGGCTTATGTGTTACTGTGAGGTTGGAGGCTATGTCACTGTGTTACAAAATGCTAACAGGGTTACCCATGGTGGAGAGATTTCAGCCCAGCTTCCTGCTTAGACAGACTCAGAAGAAGGAAGAGGCCTTCCACTTCTCAGATAATTGGCCAATGAAAACCTTACGAATAGCAGTGAAACACTGTCTGGTATATTACTGGAAAACTTTATGAACAGCCCTGAAACAAATATGACATAATGCCGGAAGGTGAGCCCATCAGGTCAGAAGGCAATTAAAATTCGACTAGGGAAGAGCTGACTCCTCAAAGTAGAGACGACCTTAACGATATAGATGAAGTAAAGCTTTTGGGACCTCCGTTGGCTGATGTGGCAAAACTCAGAATGAGCAGAAACAGATGCAAACATCTATTAATAATTGGAACATGGAATGTATGAAGTATGACTCTAGGAAAATTGGAAGTTGTCGAAAATGAAATGGAACACATTAAGATCAATATTTTAGGCATTGTTGTTGTCGTTGTTGTTATGTGCCGTTGAGTCGGGCCCTACTCATAGCGACCCCTCCTTGGGTTTCTGAGGCAGTATCACTACAGAAGTAGGATTGCCCAACCTTCCTTCTGAGGAGT